CAGAGACCACTTCCAGCCTGATAAACACATTTTTCAGTGCAAGTCCACTGTAGTCCTGTCCCTTGCCCATGCAATTTAGCACCATTGCAGAGAGCTGTGCAACCTGAAAAGTGCAAGGAAGGACCCCATGTGGGGTCTAGTCAAAGCTATGTTTCTTGTTTCCAGTGAATCAGCAAACAACATACAAGGAAACTTAGAACAGGTGAGGTGCATGCAGCCTAGCCCAGGGCGGACGGGTAGGCAACCATGCAGGATCAGAAAGGCAGGAAGAAGAGTGGTTCTGGCACATGACTCAGTTCTTGCTAATCTTGCCTCTTGTGCCAATAAGATACCACCACCCATCAGTCACTGCTGGATCCTAAGTTAATAGTTTGAAGATCTTTCCTCTGTTTCCTGAGTTCCAATTTCTTACTACTGTGAGTTCAAAAAATCTACAGGGTGAGAAATCATATGGATTACTGGGTACTCTTACGAATGGGAGGGTATACTTCACGTACAGAAATGTCTACTTTACCTGCAGGTATTAAAGCTGCCAATCCTCCCCTCTTCAGAGATAAGTACAAGTCCCAAATGAGGGCCCTCAGCCTGAACATCTGTGTTTAAGAGGAACAACCTGATCCCTCCTTCACAAGCTCAGGGGTGTTGGTTCTGCTGGTTGTTGAAATAAGGGTTCTGGTTCCACCTTCATTCTTCAGTCTGTCAGACTTACCCCTTGAATTTTATGTGGTGCATGATGTAGTTTAGAAATTGGCTTGAGAATTTGTTTTGGATCTGGGGAAGCATTTGAGGCTTGGGGCCGGCTCATTGCTCACCTCGAGTTCCAGTTGGTTTCCAGTTTTATTTTATTTTTTAAATGCGGTGCTGGAGGAGTTAAAGTCCCCGTGATATCTCACTGCTCTGTGCAGCTGCTAATTAAAGTCATTGTGAAGGATTTTAAAGTAATTGCAGATATTATAAATTTTCGATCTGTGGTGTAATTGCTAATGTGGGCCTGAAATGTTTTCCTTCAGTATGGTTTAGTTTGTTGCTCGTGGTGGAAATAGTCTTTATGATGTAATCTTCTGTTTGTGAGCTGGGACCAGTAGTGGTGGTAGCATTTGGGGGTACATAAGCTATGTTCACCTTGGCTTATTGTAGAACTGTATAATTGATGGGGCCTGTGTTACGTGCGGTAAAGGAGGCTCACGTTATGAATTCTTATGAGGCAGAACCAGATATGCTGGGACAAATTCCCTACAGGGCAGAACTCAAGTGAAGACAAAGGGGTTATACCCAAGATGAGTCTGGTCCCTTTGTCCGTGGGTCACACATCTTGTTTATTCATTGTGAAATGGGTTTATCTGTTGATGGCTGCAGTTTTCCTAACAGTAATTTGTGCTGTTTGTTTTCCTAACAGTAATTTGTGTGTGTTTGCACACACTCTCATAATTTTTTTTACAGTGGTGGACAAAAGTATTTTATTTCTAATGCTCAAGTATAGGGAAAATCCTAATTTTACGGAAGTGAATATAAACGATAGACTAAATAACATGCTGCAATGCAGATCATTGTGCAATTGCCTCCTTGCTAGTGTTCACCCGTTCCGATCCCTCTGTTTCAGCTGTATATGGTCCGCAAACAGAATCAACAGAAAACTAAGGTCAGATTTTTAAGGGTATCTAGGTGCCTAATGATGCAAACAGGCACTTCTGTCAATCCTACTGTACACCCAACTGCATGAGGTGCCTAGTCTTATTCATTTCAGTGGTGTTTAGGGGCTTGGTCCAAATCATTCCCACTGGTAACCTCACTTGAGTGTTGCAGCACCTAAAGGTAAGGCGCCTTGCTCCAGGAGGGCAGTCCAGATCCACAGCCTTAGACCGTCCCCAGGGTGAGTTGTTGGCCTCCAAAAGCCGATCTAATGTGCCCAGGTTCTGAGCAGGAAGGAGCCTATAGCGAGGTAACAGGAAACACCAGTCTGAACTCCTGCTTATCCTCACAGCCTGACTCAGGGCTGTCTTTGAAGTGCCTCTGTCAAAAGGGATAGGGGTAGGTTCATTCAGATCCAAAACTCCCAAAGGAGAGGTGCCTACTTAAACAAGATGCCTTGCGAATGCCAAGTGCATTGAATTCAGTACAAAGTACAGCAACTGTGGTCACTCACAAACAAAGAAAATGATGGAGCTGCCTTTTGGACAATAGTGGTTAGAAAAATACCCTGGGATAGAGGCGACCTGAGTTCTAGACTTTCCTCAGCCGGAGGGGACTCAAACTCATATCTCCTGCTTCCCAGGACACTGCACTACACTACACTACCTGAGTACAGCACATTTCAGGTGGAGGCACCCTCCACTCCTGTTGAAGCTAGACCCCTGGACAGTGAAGAGGAAGAGTTCTGGGGTGAAAAGGAAAGCAAACAAGGGGAATTGAGACTCTTGTCCAATGAGGAGGGCACTTCCATGGGAGAAAACCTGAGTTTCAGTTACTGCTCCTAAGAACAAGCCTGTGCATTCTTCATTTATACTGTCTTAGTTTAAAAAACCCCGGAGATACCATATTCAATTAGAAGATGACCCTGATTATAAGACAATTTAGATTCTGTATATGGAAAATGTATATATTTGTCATATTTTCCAAATATAGAATCTAATGATCAGAGGTGTGCCTTGAATTTGTTCTCCTCCCACTACTACAGCAGAGAAAATAAATATGGAGATCAGATTTGCTCTCTGGTTCCCCCTACCTTTTCCCCTTCTCTTTCTCTTTACTGTTAGATGCTGCTCTACCTAAGCATGGCAAAGTGAGGAGCAAATTTTAAAACAAGAACCTTGAAATTAAACATGGCTGTAGTAATTTGCATATAGTCCCCATAGACTTAGTTCATCCAGAATTGATGAATGTTACTTTTTTTTTAAACTGCTACAAGTTTTAGCATAGGTGTTTCATAAATGCACTGTTGAGCAGCACTTTGGCATTTACTTATATTTTGTATAAACTATGCATGGTATTAATCCAAAGCCAAAAGGCACATGATTTACCACATATTTCACTGGGCTGGGCCCCACCATAGTCAACAGCATTTCAAGGCCTGGTGACCTCACATCTCAGCTCTGCTCCAGATACTCGCCACAAAGGATTCATGTGCTAATGAGTCCCCACCCATGACTGGAACTGGATATTCTTGTCGCAAGTCCTGGGATGCTCCAAAAATGTATATGCAGATGAAATGCAGGGCAACTTGGTCCAGCTTCATCTCATGGAAGGCGGGGCTTCCAGGTGAACTGTATGCAATGTTGTGGCTCACCATGACTTGAAAAAGAGTGGATGGTAAGAGGGATTGCACTTAATGGGCACTAACATATGTCTTATTCAAATGGACTGCATTAATTTATCCTGAATGACTGAGCTCTGCTCTGTTGATAGAATTCAGAACTGAGTTGACTGATCTGGCCCAAGATATGAAACTAAAAAACAAAAAAAAGTGGTAGGTTCCAATCAGCATGTTTGCCCAATGTGGGCCATGTGTTTTATAGCTATACTCAGTGCTGGCTGCATTTAGCCAGCTTCCCAGTTGGTTTCCAGTGCTCAGCACATGCTGCTTTTGGCTGCAGTTTAATGATAGGCAATGTATTTAATGAGATTTCTTTGTATGTGATTATAAGAGAAGGGGCTTTTTTCCCCCATGCCAACTGGGGGGGGAAACCTCATCTTGTGTGCAAGTAAATAAGGTAACTGACAGGAATGTAACAAGGATTTCAGTGGACTGTTGGAACCTCTCAGCCCAGAATGGGATTGGATAAGTGCTTAGTCAAGAATTAGGGGCTTGGGTGCTTGATCTGGCTTGCTTCTGAGCATGCTCTGAAGCTTAAGTCTGTGCTCCTACAGAATTTTCCAGATCAAAATTGATTCTAGGTGCTTGTGTGGTTTTGTGGTTGTTGGACTGGGGTCAGGATGGACTGCTTTCTGTGTCTTATGCATCTAAAACTCTACCTAAGTCCTGTTTAGGCACTAACAAGAAAGATTTGGTTCTGGTCCTAAGTGTCTAACCTGCTTAAGTACTTTTGAAAATCCCTGTAGCTTTAGGCACTGAAAGACTTTTGAAAATCTGGTCTCTTGATACCAATACAAGTTGTAGGTATGCAGTCAATGGCTTAGTAGAAATTACTGCATCCCCTTAGCATTGTAAATATTGGAGGTGTTAGGTAGAATAAAAATAATGAAAATATTTTTAATATTTCACTAGCGTTTCTTTAACATTTTTTCTTTCCCTATAGGTACAATTGGTGTGACCACAAGTTAAACAAAGAGCAGGTCACAGTCTAGCTTGGTAGATAGCCTTATGTTATATTTCTTCTCCTCCACTGGTTTTCCCCCAAAATAAACTCTTTGGTGTTTCTGCTTCCAAAAATGCTGACCTACTATGAGTGTTCCTACCAGGGTGCATTGAAATTCAAAGTTTCTGTTCTACCTCCCATTCAGTGGCATGAGGGTTGGCTATTTAAATCTTTAGATGTCAAGACATGTCCCAAACTAAGTGAAAACTGCCTGCAGATTTCTGCTGCACTCTGGGGGAAAACCATGTCATTTTGAGAGGTTGCTCTGCCAGCTCTTTCCCTCTGTACCACTCTAAATCTGATACAAGACTCTTCTCTACCTTCTGGCTGCACTCCTAAACCCATACTGTCCAGCCCAACGGAGGGACCTCCACGGAGTCTGGGAAGAAGACGGCATATTACACTGGAGCCATTTCTCTTCTTCTAACATGGATTTGACCCCCAACTTAGGAAATTTAGCAATATTGTGTGCTATTTAGCAAAGTGTATCATGTGTCCTGATTCTGTTGCTATGGGCGAAACAATGTTGATAAGGAAGCACATTTCAAAGGGTTATTATAAGGGGCAGTTTGCAACAAAATTAGTTTAACAAATATGTAAAAATACCGTGGCACTGTCTTTTCATGTAAATGCTTTGGGGCTTAGGTACAAAGTTGAATTTGTCCAACTCAGTTTTAATGTCTGCAGCATGACAGAGGTGATGAACACACGGGAACCTGTTATGGAAGAATTTACATTAAGCCAGTCCCCTGAGGAAGAAGGAGGCCCTTCTACCCAGGTAAATATAAACAGAGTATTTTGATTTGCTTCATAATAACTAGCAAGTAAATATTAAGCCAAGTAGCAAAACCGACAGTGAGAGACCCAGTAAAACACTCTCTGAACTTTACATTTAATCCTATTTAAAGATGAAGGATCATTCTTTTAGTGAAGGCAATGGCAAAGTTGCTAGTGAGTTGAATAGAAGGAAGTGTTATTTCATGTAATTATAAAGTTATCTGGATATTGAAAGTGGAACAGTTCAGGCAAAGACAGGCCTATCAATAACTCATACTGTGTTATTGCAAAAAATAAGATAATGGTAAACGTAGAATATTTTGAGCATGGGAGAGGGGGCTTAGACATCGCTACAGAAGGACATATACAGCAAATATCTTACCACACCTCCTCTTACTACTGCCAGGATAGCCAGGTAACTTCAAAGTGAGTTTCAATTTAAAGGAAGAGGTTAAATGATACAAAACAGAACTAAGATTATACTTGTCCACTTTTTCATGTATTGTTTATAGTCCTTGTTTCAGCCTTGAACAAAGATGAATGTTATGTAGTTGCCAGCAACACTACCCGTGTCTGTTGATTTTAAGCTGCAAACAGATTTTCTCAGGATAAGTCATACAATCGCAATGCACTTGCCAACAGGCTCTCAAGTTGAACTACATAAACAGCAACTAAAATTCCCATTTTGTTTTAGTTGACTGTTTGCTGTGATGTCACTACCAGGGAAATAATTCTCTTGGGATGGTCCTGCTTGATGTCAGGTTTACTTTTCAACATGAAAGTCACTGATGCAAGTGAAGTCAATACTGCCCACAAAAAAAGCAATGCTAGAAGAAAATAGTTACAGTTCCTAAGTCAGACTCTCAGAAGTTAGGAAATGCTCGAATTTAGGTGATTTGTGAAACCTTAATTTAGCCCCCTTGTGCATATACATTAAGGTACTATTCCAAGTTTTTGATACAGTATGTTACTGGAAGATACAACATAAAATAGCTACTGATAATAATTGAAGCTTGTCTTTGGGTGAAAATGATCTCCAGGTTGCCCATTTTGTATGACTGTTACTAAATATTGAGTTTTATATTCTACATAATAATTCACTGAAATGAAGCTTCTTATTAAACTGTCATGGCGAGATGATGTGAATAAATCATATTGGAGTCATAGCAAGGAAGGACAAAGGATTTAAACATGCATCTTAGATTTTAGTAACATAATTATGACTTTGTGTCCTGAACTTCCTGCAGACATTAAATGCAAATGTTATATTCATATTAGGCTACATACAATAATATTTTTGCTAAAGCATTCTGATTACTTTTATTAAGCATGTTGTGTCATCTTAGTGATTGCATGCTGTCCATATGCTTTGGGCCAAAGAAGGCAATCTCTTGTTCTTCAGGCAACTGGAGATTATCAAAGACAGTATCCACAGCCATAAGAGCAGCTTTGTATCCCTTAATAGTGTGCACATCAGCTAGTGAGGTGGGGGAATGGGGTCAGTGGGCTTGGTATAGTGTCCTCTCCAGTATTCCTTGACTGGCAGTATATGACACAGGGCTTTTAAGAGGTATGGGTAATGTTAAAGTAGAGGGGAAAATACAGAGAATACATTGGAATCAGTAAAGAAAGAGAAGTCCCTCTTCCTCAGGACAGCTTTCCTAAGCGCTCGCCATCACAGTCTCCATGAAAATCCATGTGCAGCTTTTTGACATATATATCACTAAAAAACTTACAAGGCTTTTCCAGACTCACGTGAGAAGTATCCCAAGTTGTCAAAAAGACTGCCATCCATTGTGGTGGAACCAACTGAGTCAGGGGAAGTTGAAAGTGGGGAGCTACGCTGGCCACCTGATGACCTGAAACCAGGGGAAGATAAGAATCCCCTTGCTGACCAAAGAGTCCGTGTTCAACAGCAGCAAATGGGGCTGGAAGGTATGAATTAATCATTTCTACCCTCTGATATTGAGGCAGTGCAGATCACGGCAATTCATAGAAGACATATAGAGGCATGCAATGGGTACTTCTATGCTACATTGATGGATGCCTTAGAAATACCTGAGCTGATCTGAGATAGTTGAAAGGACTGAAAACTCATTGTTTGCTTTAGAGCAGGGGTGTCAAACATATGGCCTGTGGGCTGGATCTGCCCATGGAGGGTGGTCATTGGGCCCAGGGGGCTTATAGTACAGTTGCCAGCAACAAAGGAGTTAATGCCACTGCTGCTCAAGCCCCGTTGTCACGGCTGACGCAGGCAGCAAGCAGAGAGT